ATCGGGGCCCGCGGGTGGAGTGGCGGCTAAGGCACTGGACTCCCACGTGGTCGGCAGCAGTTCGAGTCCCAGACCCGGTAGCTTGAAATTCATGCCAGGTGCGTGTGCATGGGAGCCCAAGATCCCAGGAGGAGAATGGAGGCAAAGGGATTGCAGTGGGGGCCATCGCCCCGGGGGGTGACTCCTCGCTTTCCCTCTGTCTCTCTCTGGTGAGCACGTGCACCCCAGGGCAGAAACCTACCACGAACAAGCAAACAGAGCTCCCGATTTGTCATATTTTGCATGAGGTTTTCTCAAGAGACCTTTCACGAAGTAACATCTCCTGATGCAGGAGCCGTCATCTCCAGCTCAGTGCTCTTTGCTTCCTCCCCATCTCTTCCGCATGTGAGCGGGGCGGGGCAGGCGACCGGGGAAGGGCGGGGTGTGGCCTTGGCATGGGCCAGGCAGGCAAGCCCACTGAGCGCTGCCCCCCACCGGCTAGGGGCTTTGACTCTTCCTGGAAGACAATGGGGAAGGGGATTTGAACCACTACGGAGACAAGGTCACGTGCGCTTTATAACAATCACGTTGTCACTTGGTCACACACATCTCTTTAAGTGACACGAGTCAGGGATGCTCCACCAGCACGATCTTTGTAACCCCTAGGGCAGGCTTAGGACTGACACGCTATCCTCGGTCTTTCCTTCGAACTTCCGCCATTTTCCTTCAGATCCTTAACCCTAAGCACACTCGGCGTGGGCAGCACTGTGATGGCCCTTCCCCACGAACTCAGTGCCAAGCAGTTCCCTGGGCTTTCCCAGGGCCTGTGGCTTCAGGCTGGCCCTGGCGTGAGCCACCGAAGGGCTGAGCCTCCCCCAGGTGTGAGACGCGGGGACCTGGTGTCAGGCTGGCTGAGTTCATCGGGCTGACAGCCACCCTCCTTTGACTTCAAAGAACGATGGCTCAAAGTTGGACAAGGGTAAATGTACAATTCTCCCAAGTTAGTATTTAATGCCCTCATTATGTGCGAACACTCCTCAGACTCCTTCGGGCATTGGACCTGTTTTCCCACTGGCTCCTGCCCCTGCCCTGGGCATGGCCTCTCCTGAGGTCAGCAGACACATCTTGGTCCCAGCACAGGCTCCCATAACCGATGCTAATGACCACACTGCACCCCCTCCCGCGGGAGCCCTGCCTCGCTAGCGCACCTGCAGAGTCCAGGGCGCCTGTCCTTCGTATTCCACCCTTTATGAAGCTGTCCTCAGTGATCCGCCCAATCCAGCAGAACCAACACGTGACAGTCACAGTGACAGAATACGTTTGGGTCTTACAAATAACCACCACGTAAACATAGGCCAATTACGCTGCGTTTTCGACAAGGCTGGGGCCCTAATTTTATTCTACTTGCACTCTAGTATAAGCCTGCCTTGCGAAGCCCTCGCGGACCTGGAAGTATGAACACCCCGTGACCTCGTACATTGGGGTGTAACTGTATTCACAGAGGCTGTGCTCACCTCTCATTCCGTGACCGGGATGGCACTGTGGCTGCCTACCAATACGGCACCTCCCTCTTACCACCACTGCCAACAGCCCCCTTTGATTCAAGCACCTTTTCGCAGCAGGCTGGTTCCTCCCAGCCCCAGATCTGAGTTTCTTTGGGGGCAAATTAGCCATGGTGTGGTCTGCTCTCCTGGCCATCCGTACCCACACGAGGGACCCAGCGCTGGCCAATGGGAGTTGAGGCAACGTTAGCTGGGAGCAGAGTGGCCCTGGGGTCACTGTGACACTCCGAGAAGACACCAACTTCATTGGCTCTCAGTGTGGAGTGGCCACACATCTCAGTGACATGCGGGCCATGTCTGGGAAATAACCAAGGTCCCGGGGAGGCTGAATAGAAAGATGAAAAGCCCCAGGGCCCCAGTGATGTCACTGAGCTGCCCAGTTAACCAACCCGGAACTTGTCATATGAGGTAATACGTTCCTTTCTGGTCAGTGGTGTTGAAAGCAACATTTGCAGCACTTGGAAGCTGTAAGAAGTGCAGTTCGGGGGCCCTGCCCTCAACCTGCTGAAGGGCCTGGAAGTGCAGACCGGCCATCTTTCAGAAGCCCTCCCAGTAATCCTGAGAAGCCCCGAAGTTCGAGAACGACCGGCTTGGACTTGCTGTGAGCCGGGTCCCACCCCTGCCTTGCGAAGCCCTCGCGGACCTAGAAGTATGATTTATACCTTGAAGCCCTAAATCCCCTCAAGCAATGTGTCACCCATGGGATTATGCACGTATGAAGAGGTCCTGAAGGCCCGCCACAGTGGTGCAGGTGCTGACGCCCTGCTACACCAACTACCAGCCCAGGGAGGCCCAAATTCGGCTCTCAGGGTGACCCGACCACACCCAGCACCCTGTGATCCTGACTGGGAGGCAGGAGAGGACTGTGGCATGGCGAGACCCTGTCAAATGCACCCCCACCCCATAAAATAAAAAAAAGAGACAACCAAGAGAGCTGCCTTGCCCCCCACCATGTGGCCACAGTGAGAAGGAGCCAGAGATCCAGCCTCCACAGCCGACGTCGGCACCGTGTCCCGGACTCCGGCCTGCGGATACTGAGAAGTCGCTCTCTGGTTTAGGCTGCACAGGCCCTGCCATTTCCTTATGAACAGCCCCAACAGGCTAAGAGCCGTTCAGTTAGGGTTTCCAGTCCTTGCTCTTAAGTACATCGTAATTAATAAGCTATTCGATTGTGCTTTTCTATGTTTTCTAGAAACACTGTGTCATCTGATAACCATGGTGCTCAGGAGGAAGGTCCGAGCGGTCGCCACACGCACACCTTTGCTGATGACAGTCTGGGCCACTGGGCAGACTGGCAAAAAGCTGGGCTAGGTCTCTTAGTGTAAGTAGTTTTGGTAAAACTGTAAACCTGAGTTCCGGGGTGAAAGGATGGAACTCTGCGATAGAGAAAGGAAACTCAGGGCGCAGGCTCAGCCGCAGCTCGGGTCTGGACCAAGGTGCATTCGTGGGACTTCCACCTGCAGTGGACGGTCCCGGCAGTCCGACAGCCCAGGTGGAGCCCAAGCCTGGAAGCGCAGCAGGAAGTTATAGCGCCACAGTGACAAGCAGACAGGAAGTCACCAAATCTTAGGGTCACTCGGAGCTGCGGAGGAAACACGAGCTGGAGACAGCAGAGGCCAGGCAGCAGGCTGGAAGGCAGTAGGAAGGGCTGTCGTGTCTCCGAGCCACCGCTGGAGCCGGCAGCAGTGCAGTCCCCGTGCAGACCCTGCCAAGGCAGGCGCCCGAGCATCACCGTCCACTCAGGCCTGTGACTTGAAGGAAGGAGGAGGGGCTGTGCTGCTGGGGCGGTGGTGGGGAGACAGATTTGGTTTTTAAGAGAGATTTTTGTTATAGGGCACATGCACTTGCCAGAGAGACACACAGAGACAGAAAGTGAGAAATCACCCCCCAGGGGGATGGCCACATTGCAATCTCTTCTCCTCCATTCTCCTCTTGGGATTTTGGGCACACATGCACACACACCTGGCATGAGTTTCAAACCGCTGGGTCTAGAACCCCAATGGGAGTCGGTCGGCCACTTGGGAGTCCAGCAATGTAACCATTATGTCATCTGCTGGTCCTCACACTGCTCGTTTTTAAATGAAGTTGTCATCCCCTTGTCATTCAGCTGGTGGCATCAAAGCCCCGCTATGACAAATTAGTAATGCTCACTTCACTTCCATAGAAGCACCCCTGGTCAACACATATGGACAACCCACCTCACCTGTCCCGCCGTATTTAATGCAGGCTGGCAGGGGGTGACTACGATCCCACAGCTCAGCTCAGACTCACTCTTGACTCTTAGGACGGCACCCTGAGCTACTGCGCAACTTCTAAGTGATTCTTGAGGCTGTCCATGGCCAAACCCTCCCCTAATGGATGCACTGGGATCTGTGCCCTTAGCCAGCTCTGTCTTGTGACACTCTCTAAATGGGCTTGGGCTATACCCAGGGTCTGTGGACCTCCACCCTGGCTGCCACCAGTCCTTCCCCAGACTCACACTTCCCTGGACAAGACATCAGCTGCCCTTCGCAAGAAATGGTTAGAGATGTGCGGATACCATGCCTTGCAGATCATGCTACTCCAGACAGGGGCCCTCAGAACAATTGACACAGGGCCAAGAGGGTGGGGAGGGGACAGCCACACCGTCACAAGTTTCCCCATCCCGATGCGGACCACTCCTGCTGACTTGAAAGTCATCATTTAAAAACCATCCCCAAGTTGCTGATTAAGTATTTGTCTCAAAGAGATGATACTCATTATAACATGACTGTAATTTGGGGGCAAAGTGGAAATATCCAATCCTTATTTCTAACAAGGAGGCACAACTGTCCTTGAGAAAGGAAGGCCTGCTGGCTTCCTTCCTTGTTCTCTCGTGGGGCATGCCGGTGTCTTCTCACGTGTGCACGTCCAGGAGGGCAGTAGATTCCGGCCGTGCTGCTGGCTATGACCCTGGTCCTGCCACTCAGAGTCTGTGTGCCTGCAAAGGTCACCTCACCCCCTGGGCTGCAGCCTCCTCGCTGCAGAGTGGAGATGGCAGTCCCTACCTCCTGGGGCTGTTAGAGCCCGGAAGCAGCCACCATCAGAACCGCACTATCAGGACGTGGTGGGCTGCTCCGTTTTCTTCCCTTAACACAGTCATTTTTTTGGTAAGTTTTGTAATCCAGAGCTGGGGAACATCTGGGAGATAGGGGAGAGAAACAGAGACAGAGAGACAGCATCTGCAGCAGATCTTGACACCACGACCCACCGCAGCTTCAGCCAGCCCTGGGGCATGTTCAGGGACATCTCCGGGTGCGAACCTAGAACTGGCCACGTGGACCGGCCTTGCAGTCTCACGTCTCACTGCCGTACGCTGTGTGGCCCCCGTATCAGAACGCTTTCAGGAGCCTCATCTTCACTCATTGACATCAAAACTCCAGAGTCGGCTGGCTTTACGATAAACTTGGAATCCAGAGAACACAAATCCGGAGAGCGGCATTCATGTCATAAATAATGTATTTTATTTATTGCATATGGCTATTAAGGAGGGCATCCATGATCAATACAGACTAAGTACAACGCACTACGCCCGTCCAGTGGACCCTCGCCTCCGCAGTGCCACGTCGGCCCTATGTACAGCGTAAGGTGGAAGACAGAGCGAGGGGAGTCAGGTGTCTTGTCATAGCTTGACAGCAAGAAATATGTTCGACATCTCGATACCCAGAAAACAATACGTACCCAAAAGAAAACACTGCTTAATAACGGTTAAGGTTTATATAGCAAAAAATAGTTTAAATTTAAGGTAAGTCAGGCAAAATGTACAAAGACCCAATATACATTATGAAGTTTTAGCAAACATAACATTTATACATTTTGGTTCCATTCTGTAAACTAAATTAAAAATGTAAATATTGCATATGCCTTTTTTTTTTTTTGAAATGTACAGGATAGAGGACAATTTCGTATATTATTAACTTTGCAGTCTGCTTCTTCTAAGCTGCAGTATGACACGGCCCTTTGTATCTTGTCATGGCTACTCTAGCTAAGAACCTAGTGAAATATGCATCAACACGAAGGGTCAGCGGGTCCAGACCCAGCCCCGCTGTACCTGGGGTGGGGGTCACATAGCATACAATACCCAGCCACTCCTATTCCCCAAATGAACTAAAAACTGGAGGACGTTTTAGACCTCTTCGTAAGGCGTACCATACGTGGGAACTGACCTTCAGACTAGCATGGGGTGGCCGGTGCACTTCTGTGACGAGTGACTTCAGAAAGCAAAACCGCAGAAGTGCCCAGGGGATCACTTTACATTCAACTCTGTCTTGCAATACAATCCTCGGTTCTAAAAGTTCAGCATGGAAGCAGGAAGACTTTTGCATTGCCATTAGGTATATGTTTAAGACATTGAATTTTTTGGTCTTCCTCTAGAAAAGCCTCATTTTATTAATGCATTATTCTATAATGATATATATCTATATATTTATATATATTTTTTTCTCCAAACAAAAACAAAAACAAACCAACAACTCACAGCTCCCCTGAATAACTGTAACCTCTATAGGAGTATGAGAGAAGACAGGCACTAGGGCAGCCCCGCAGGGGAGGGGTCGCGCCCTCCGGTCTCGTGGCGGGAGCGGCGTGACGGCAGGATGTTCCGCTGGGCCGGCTCGGCAGGTCCAGATGGCACCTGTGACAATCGCCACAACACTGATATTTCCAGAACACTGAAACAGAAACCGAGGGTCGCCCGGCCAGGGACCTTCCTGACAAGAGACCCGGGCTGCGAGGTGGTTTTTCTTCTTTCCTCCTTCCGTTACCAACGCAGGGGCCGGACGCCTCCAGTTACCAGCTCCTTTCTCGCACTGCCTTTTTCCTTTCTCCTCCTCAGGGCAGGGTCGGTGGCCAACATAACAGCATCGTATTAAAGGTAAGACATTTTTCAAATCTAATCTGCCAAACCCAGACCACCCTTGAACTGCTAGCATGCCTGCATGAATTTTTGGTTAAAGAAATGCAAGCCCAAGATGAAGGACAGCAGAGACGAGTGAGCTTGTGAATAGGATAAAAGGCTTCTGCAATCTGAAGTACCTACATGAACGTCTACACAGAGAAGATTGAACGAGTCTGTTAAAGGTAAAAAGAGACATGTATCCCCTTCCCAAATCCCCTCCCGCCCCTTCCCCATCACCCAATACAGTCGATGATTTTCAAAAGCAGGTTGCTTCAGTTACGTATAGTAATTAAGATCTAGTCATCGCCGTGGGAGTCCAACCCCAAACTTCACTTGCGCTGGGCGCAGTCGGTCCCACGTTGGGCTCCGTGTGTGAGTAAACGTCGCAGGTCCCCGGACCGGAGCCCACCGAGCAGCTGTCTCCCGGGACCAGTCAGTAAGGCCGACCACCGATCCGCAGAACACGGAGGTCCTGCGTCCCCGACCACGTGACCCGCGGTCCCTGGAACTGAGGTAGGACTGTGGCATCTTGAGTGTAGGCCGGGACCCAGCAGGTGTCACCCTCAGTGGGCGTCGGGAGATCTCCTCGCATGCTGACGGACGGTTCTGCTTCGCCAGAGTGAACTGAACGTAAGAAACCGAGACGCTGGCCACAGCCCAAGGCGGCCAGTGCAAACATCCCATTTTCTTGAGAGTAGCTTCTCCAGCGAATTTTGTTAGAAAACAAAAGAAAACACAAACAGCACAATGACGAATGTCCCACACGGGGATGAGGGCGGCGTCCTGCCTCGCTGGGTCCTCGGCCAGTACCGTCCACAGAGGTGTCCACGTGTGTAAGCGCTCGGAGCAAAGGGAAATCGTAAGCAGCTTCGGACTGGAGACAGGCTGGGCGTCCGCTCCGTGCCGTTCCCTGGGAGCGGTGTCGCCACGCCATGCGGCTCTTCACTCTGCAAAAGAGGGAGGGAGGTCAGAGTGGCATCCGCGAGAGCAGGGCTCCCAGGAGGGCCACGTCCCCGCCGCCTGAGAGGACGTGGTCTGGGGAGCGACCGTCCACCTCTCCATCTCCCAGAGACACACCCACGTTCTCCCCCAGTGAGCTCCCCCCTCCAGGGGCGGGACAACGCAGGGCGACACTGCACGCCACGCTTCTGAGAGCCTCTTACGTTTGAACCAAATGGCACTTCGCTAAGGCCCATCCCTGACCACAGCGGTGGCCACACGGCCTGGCCTGAGCACTGCGGGTCCTGCTTAAACAGGCAGACTTCCTTCTTCGGCAGTTGAACCTACACTACTCACTTCTGCACAGCCTCTAAGACTTTTATCTTACTCACGCCAGTGCGTGCATGTGCGGGAGAAAGGGGGGAGAGAGAGAGAACGAAAACCACCCTCAACAGGGTCTCGTCACACCAGGGTCCCCTTTCCCAGCCCCCTAGAGCCTCAGAGCTCTGGTGCCCGCACAGGTGCCTGGCGTGCCTCAGAGCGACGGGGTGCGCCTCAGCCTGCAGGCACGTGCGTGGCCTCTGCCACAGGGGCCGGCCCCCTCCAAATTCTTTCAGAATCCTGACCCCAGACTCTGATCACACTCGCTGGTCTACTTCCTGTGACGATCTAACTATTTTCTATCTATCTTGAGTTCAGAGGACTGATTGCAGCGAGAGGAAATGCTCGGGGTGCCCTGAAGCTAAAAGTGAGCCCCGCCGACTGCAGGGGTGAACTCAGGCCTCCTACAGCCAGAGACCGGCGCTTGTCAGTGTGCGAGGGAAGCGTGCTAGCTCCTCATGCCTCATTCTGAAAGTTCTCCACAATGTGACATTTTAAGGCTGTGCTACTTTATCTTACTATTTTTAGAACGTCTTATGCCTTTTAAAAATTTAGCAGGTAAACAATGATCTGCAAATGAAACTCAACAGAAATAAAGCCTAGGCCTTGCTCCTAGGGAAAGGTCTGTCCTCCATGTTTTTTATCTATTCCTGCTGTGATTTTCAACTCTGAGACCATAAGAACCTGTTTGTATCCCTCAGAAAGCAGGCATTTGCTAAAACCCACCTGGACTTATTAGCTTTACCCTAAAATACGTTTACATTTTGGCTCAAGCCCTGATTGTGAGATGAACCCCAAGGCCACCCCCACAAAAAATAATAAGGACCCAGTGAAGCCACTAACAGAAAGCGTTCAAAACACAGTTATTTTATTTCTGCACTAACAGTGTGCTAAATGGAACTAACCTGTCTCATGCTAACGGCAAGTCTATTATCCTGAAAACAGCTAAGCCAGAAAGTTTTTCAATTTCTCAAATGTAAACACACAGTCATATAAATGGGGGTTTAATTGTTGCTGAAAAAAATTATTTTTCATTTTAATTGGCAAATTCATGAGGACACTGACATTTTCACAAGGCTGCCGTATCGCTGTGAAACTCAACTCAACTGGTGAGGTCTAATTAAATTGAAAGTGTCATTTTGTTTTAAAGTACAATACAGTTATCAAAACCCTGACTTGTAAGCCTCGGCGTGGCACAAGGAGACAGCGGGCCCATGCGTTTGCTCTCCTGGCGGCCTTCCGACAGCACCCTGAGTTCTACCGGGCGCACAGCCTCCTCGAGGACTTGGGAGACGAGGCTGGTATCAGAGGATGAACTGCTTGTGGCACGCGTCAAGGAGGCAAGAAGCTGCAGCTGAGAGCACAGAACTCGGATGACGCCGACTCAGCTGGCGCAGCGCTGGACACACGCGCATTACGCAGGTGCAAACGGCGCGGCTCGAATTCGCCCCTACCAGGTTCAAAGACCACTGATTCCACAGACCCTGTCCTCACAGCCAACGGAGGGAGCCGAGACCTCCGGTCTCCTCATGTGCCGCAGAACTGCAGCTGGGGTCACGGAACAGCCTGTCACTTACAGACCTGCTGGTTCACCAGGGACTGGCTTCAAGACCCTCCCGGACGCTAGCGAGGCCATGACGACTACAGGAGACAGGGTGTGGTGCTTTCAAGTCCACCATAAGCTTCAGAACTAGTTGGTAGAGATCTCCCCATGGGGATGCAAAGGGGAGAAGCAGGGAGCAGGCCGGGGTAGACCTCGAACTGGACACAGAGGACTGCGATGTACCTAGCCCCAGCAGAAGGGCTCAGATAAACTGGAGGCTTAAGAACCGTGGATACCCACTAAGGGTGCACGTCGGAAGACGGGTTCGTGCTCAGAACCTAACTAGAACCTCTTTCACTTGTTGCAGGAGGAAGGTCTGAGACAAGCGGTTTGCCTCAACTGGCACGTAATGCTGCCTTTGGCGCGGGAGCAGCGGGGAGAAAGCGTGGGTGCACCTGGGGGCACAGCCCTGCACCAGCTGCAGCTGGGCGAGGACATCCCCAGGAACCAGTCTGCCACTGCACGTGCACGCCCCCGCAGGCTCCTGGGCCCAGGCAGAGCCTCATAGCAGGTGCCAGGAGCTTGTGCCTGCCCGAGGCCATCAAGGAAGTGTGGCCATGCCACCTCTGCCCCGGCCCAGGGACAGAATGAGAGGCAGGAGCCGGGAAATGCTGCAGGAACTGGAACACGAGTGATGCTTAAGTTAAATGATTTTCTAACACCACTCAGCCAACACCCTATCGTTAAGTATCTGGCTTCCCAAGGATGAGGTTCCAGCAAAATTTTACTTATATTATTATCTATGCTAATTTTACTACAAACAAAGAGCGAGTCATTAATTTTAAGGACACTCTACTCTGAATATTCACTAAGAAGGGAGATACCCTTTGAACTTCTCAGCTGCAACAGCAGAACACGGAACTCCTATGAGAACCGCGTTGCTCAGAAGCGCAACCACAGAGCGACGCGCGCCATTCCACTCCCGGAGGCAGCACCCAGGCAGTGCCGGCCTGTCACCCTCCGGCCTCGTCACACGCTGCACATTGCTCCCACCCCGAGGCTGTGCCGCTGGTCCCCCAGACACTGCCACAGACACACCCCATTCACAGAGGCTCTCCTGGCGGAGAGTCAACTGTGCCAACAAGCAGGGCACTTTCGGCAAAGGGCTGGCAAGTCGCCCCACGCAGTGCAGCTATGTGCCTTCTTTCTGCTGTGAGCCGTGGCAGATGAACTCAGATGCGGAACAGCCCCAGCGCACTCACTGCGGCTCCCCCCCCCCCAAAAAAGCACACTAGCCACAATCCACGGCAACGGGCCGTCGGAATGCACGTGTGCAGAGCACAGGAAGTCAGGGTCCACCTTCAATCCACTTAACTTCGCCCCAGTCAAGAATAAACAGGAAAAAAAGAGAGAAAGAAAATAAATCCCTGAAAAAGTTATTAAAACATGTAGGAAACTTTCCCTGCAATACACGGAACAGAGGCCGAAACGCCGACCACCACCAGGGAGCCGGTGCCGCGAGCACCGTCCCGGAGGACCCCCGGCGAGCACCGGCCAGGGCGTGAGAGGCGCACACGGCGCATCCTCTCCAGCAGGGAAACGGCGGCCATTGAGAAACCGTTTCTGACTCGCGACCGTGTTTTCCTATGGTTTCTAGTGAGACTGATTAGGGATGGACATGTGGCCAAAATCCAGCAAGCACACCTGACAGGGACAGTTCCGCCCACAAAGCCCAAGTTCTCCACAGAGAGCCTCGGGTTCCAACTGAGACCACGCAGAGCCCATGTGGAACCACATGGAGCCCAAGCAGAGTCTGTGCAGAGACCATGAGCAGCCCGTGCAGAGGCCACGCAGAGGCCATGCGGAAATCCATATGGAACCCATGCAGAGCCCATGTGGAGGTCCACACGGGACTCCCTGACACAGCTGCAGGAAACAGGGCCTCACGGTCCTTTCCGAGGACTCTCCACACAGTGTAGGTCCCAACACCTGACCGGTCAGCCGTCTCTGCATTAGGGGTGTTACCAATATTGATCTGCATGACAAAATGAAACCATATTCTTAAAATTAAAGTTTATATTTCTAGTAGCCAGTATGATTAAGAAAGAAAGGAGCCCTTTGGTGAGTTTGAACATGTCTTTCAGGCATATCTCGGAACCCAGTTTAGACCTTTTATGTTGAACACAGAGCAACGAGGAAAAATAAACTTCCCAGTAACACAAGAAATTCCTAGAAGAGTAAGCCTGATAATTCAGTATCTCCTTACTTAACCAAAAGCAAAACACTCCAAGAACATGAAAAAAAAAGGTAAGGTGGGGTGTGATAACAAACTAGAAGTTCTAAGAAAAACAGTTCCTTGAATTTTTCTTTTTTGAATTGGAAAAAAACCCCTCACTTTAAAGGAAAAACAGAAGGCCGATTTCCCCATGCCACATCTACCAGCCCCACTGTGGGAGAGCAGGGCATTTCTCTCACATGCGCTCTCCACGTGCACTGACAGTTACAGGCACTCGGTCATGAACCTCTGCTGTGAAAGAAATCACCTGCATCAAGTTCTAACTCGTTAATGACACACCGTGAGATGCAATGAGACGATCTAGTTTCCCCCTAAGACTGGAGTTGAAAGCAATCTCTCCCTCTTTAGTCCTCCACGTAAGACCGCATCTTACTCACTGACTCCCAAGCTCCGAACCGCTGCACTTCGATTTCGTCCACACAGCCGAGGCTTTGGACACACAGACCTGTGTGATTTTATGGAGCGCAGCCTCAGCAGACTCATGGCGTTTCCTGACAGGGTGGTTTCCGTTCTGGGTTTGTTGCTAAAGCCCTTCCATGTGCAGCGTGTCAGCTATCGTTCTGTGGAAAGACTCCCCCAATCCGCAGTGGCAGCATCACCACGAGAGGCTCAGCCCTGACTGCTCTCCAGGCCCACGCCGTACCCACGCCGTGTGACAAAACACCCGAGCCACTGGCTTTCCTCTGATGGAACGTTAGACCTTTCCTATAAACCCAGACCGGAAGCATGAAGACCTGGCTGGCCGCTGTGGGCACAGATCCCAACTTCTCCGAGAAAAACTTCTCAGA